GAAACAATTTCATTTCCTGACTGTTGTCAGGTTTTTGAATAGCCAGTTTTTTTCTTAGGGCTTAGCCTTGGATTTCAGATTAAAAAACTGATTCTCAGTCATTCAAATTGGAAACACTTTTACTTGTATTCTGTAGTGGCCCTGGACCTTGATGCTAAATGGCAGATACTTTGATATTTTCCAGAGCTGAAAAGAGGATAGATGGTGTAAAGTGTCCTGTCAGACAAAATGACTTTGTGAAAGATGCTTGATGGGTTTCCTCATTGGAAACAGACCCGTGATAACCAGCAGAATGTTAGAGCTGCTGTCAGTAGCCCATGGCCCTGGTGCTCCAGAGAAGCCCCAGCACCAGTTTGGTGCCAGGTCCTGGCAGCAGGCAGGGCTGCCACGGCCACATGTGTGGGATGGCTCTTGCCAAGGGAGATGGTGCGGGGTGCTGGGACTGGCGCTGCTGCTCTTTTTGAAGGGTAAATGATTTAATGAGTCCTAGTGGCATTGCAAAATCTATATGTAATCGTTTTTACACTCTGTGCTTACCAGGCTTGTTATTTTACATGAGGCATGTTACAGAACAGAGAAGCAGTAGCTCGCAGCACTGCAGTGCACTGCGTGCCATAGTGCACAAACTGTTGTGGTGGAGCCGGATGGGAAGGCATTAGCACTGTGACTCCCAGTCAGGGGGGCCTCAGACAAGTAGAGTTCACTCAAGCTATTTCTATTGCTTTTATGCTTGCGTTTAACAAACTCTCAGCTGGCAGAATGAAGCATTCAGCTCTGCAGAGACATTGTGATCCTGCAGGAGACCGGTGCAGGATTCGGCCCCTCTGCCCACGTCAGGAACACAGTGAGAATTTACTGCAAACAGGGAGTGCTTACACTGGCCATGAATCTGCCCCTTTAATGAATAGTCTATGGAAAGGGGTCAGGATTGCGTTAATTGCGTGTTGCAGGAGTATAAAAAAGGTCCTTGCCTTTCCCTTAGAAGGTCTGTAATACAATAACTTTCACTGCTGGCAGGGGTGCTGCAGGAGTGGAATTATGACTGGAAATTAGATATGCATAGCCTGGCCAAATGATCATTAAGGGAGATACGGTAATCAGCTGCCAGTGTTTAAGGGCTGTAAACACCAGGAGGAGAAAGATGGCTTATTTGGGTGGTCTGCAGAGTCAGAAGTAAGAGAAAAGGTATAAAGCCAAGCACGTGAGCATGGAGGTAGGAAGGAAAAATCTTAACCATTGAGCGCTCTCAGTTTAGGAGACCTAACACCCGAGTCAAAGTTGAACGTAACAAAAGGGCGTATATTTTAAGCTGGAAGTGAACTTGAGTGCTTTAATACATATTTTTCACCTCTTATTTCCCCGGTCTTGTGTTTCATTAGCATTTTTTGTGCTTTCTTCTCAACATGTGGTTTTTATTCGGCTTCCGGAGATGATAGTTCTTGAAGGGATGTTATTGTAAAAGTAGCACAACACTGCTCAATTACGGTTTTGCCATTGTTGCCATGGAGTTTAAATCTGTTCTAAGCTGGGGACTGATTATAAGAGGAACCAAGGGCAGGAGGTAGCTGTTGCTTGGAAAAGTGAAAGCCTATCACCACTGGCATGTGAAGTCATCCCAGCACAGGAGTTTCACAGCTCCCAAATCATTTAGTGTCTCCATGTATTTCCCTGCAGCTCTACCTGTTTCCTGATTTTAGTGCCTGTTCTTCCCACGTGCTGAGTGCTCATTGAGCTCCTTTGGACAGATCTTTCTGGTTGTTCCCTTCTGCTTTGGATGCATTCAAAGACTGCCCAAGTTCAGTGCTCCCCGTGGCCTTCACTCCCCAGTCACTTACCATCTTCTTGTTTGCTTTGTTCTGTGCTTCAGATGAGGCATGTCCCCGTTAAGACTGAGGTCAAGAAAATCTGGTGACTGTAGCTAATGAATTGATGTTCTCATTTGCATAATTGATGGTTACGCATTTCCTTGGTGACACAGTTTGCTGTGATACTTAGAGCTATTTTTGTTTTGACTTCTCTGCCCTGCTGCTTCTGCTGCCTACACTAAAGGTATATTACGTGTCAGAGGAAAGAATGAACCCCAAAGCCCAAACTTTACAAGTTGAACGCTTTAATCCTTTAATGCACTTCTGTTCACAGGCGTATTTACAGTGGCTCGGCTGTAAACCTCCCGTGTGTTAGAGCAGGGGGAGTCGTGTTTATAACATCTGTGCGTGCTTGGGGGCTGCGGGAGAGGAGAAAGAAAACGGGGGAGAAAGAAGAGGAATATATAAAAGATGAGAGTAAGAATCAGGTCTTACATACATTCCCTGAGGCTTTCTATTTAAGACACCTTTTTCCCTTCACTTCCTCGTGTTCTGAAGAATGAGCCCTGGTGGAGGCCGTGTCGGTGTCTGTGTGCGCCATGCCGTGCGGTGCGTGCAGCCCGTCCTGCCGGAGTCACGGCGCTGTGAAATGCTGATGGCCCTTACGGAGCCCTGAGCTCCCAGCCGGGCACAGCCACCCAGACAGCAGAAACTAAAAGCCATATCCGTGGGCTGGAATTTCAAATCTGATTTTCTCTCGTGGGCTCTTTCTCACTGACTCTGGGACCCTTAGAGAAAATAACAGTGCGGTTCTGGGAGGTAAACAGCGACAAACAGCGACAGAAAACAGCGACAAACAGCGACAGAGGCTCCGAGAGGCGCCGCGAGGCCGCCCCGACCCGAGCCGTCACGGGGCAGCGCGAGGCCGAGCGCGTTCCGCGGGGCTGCGGCGCCCCCTCGTGGCGCCCTCGCGGGGCCGCGTTGGCGGCGATCCCCGTCCCCGAGCAGCGCTTCCACAGCGCGGGCTGTTGCTGAAGGATGAGCGCTGTGCGCCCAGCCGACCCCCGGTGAGAATTCGGTTAAGATTTGAAGGAAAGCCTTGCAGAGAGCTGGGTCGGGTAGAAGCCTCCGGTAAAAGAGCCGAGCGCTGCGAGTTTGTGCTGCGAGCAGCGTGTGGGGCTCTGCTCTGCGCCTGCGGCTTTCTGCCCTTCATCTGCAGCCAAGCCACTGTCTCCGGCGGTCCCAGACGGCTAAGCGGGGCTCTGAGCTGAAGTCAGAACTGGGTGGCACTCACCCATGTGTGCCCACGTGTACCCAGAGGTGGGGACGAGCTCCGTCCCAGAGCTTGCCGCCCGCACGTGCTGAGAGGCGCTGCTCCACGCGGGGCAGCCGCTGCTGCTGCCGGGACACACGGCCATTTGTTTGCCTCTTGTCGGGGCTCAGCGCACGATCTGGGAGAAGCACTCGCTGTGGAGCAGTGGTTGATAAATGCCTGTGAAATCCTGGCCCGGGGAACAGGCAGCGCTGCCAGATGTGATAGCGCTGTCCTCTGACGAATGGCCACGGCGTGGCCCTGCTCAGATAGCGGCACAGCTCTGCGTGTTGGCCCCACACCCATCCTGCAGCCATCCATCCCTGCTGGAACACGCTGTCCTGCAGCCATCCATCTATCTGGGACTCAACTGCCACAGCGCAGCTTTGGGCTGTTCTGCCTCTCAGTGGCACTGCTGCATAAAGTAACAGTTGTTAATGTGTGCTTCCACGTATCCAGCACCTTTCAGCTGCACTTCAGTCCCACTGCTTCATACACGTGGATTAAGTATTGCGACACAGCAGTGAGGCATGCAGGGAGTGCATGGGATCATCCATTCGGCGCTGTTATTACACAGCTGTTCCTTCCAGATATTTGCCACGTTCTTAGCAGAATTCAGGAATATCTGAATAGCAAGCTCAGACCAGCTGGTTCTAAATGTAATGGAGCTGTCAGTCCATAGAGCACTGTTAGAGGGCTGGGCCCCAGCACAGCACACCCAGGTGTGTTCTGCAGGGTACACAGCCTGTGGCAGTGCATCCCATGTATGTCCTTGGCACTCACCTCTACCCATGCACTGCTCCCTTACATATCTGTATGCAGCACAGGACCCTAAGGATGGACAGCAGCATGTCAAGTAGGTTGGGAGGTGGATAGATCTACGAGGTGATTCCTCTTTAGAGGTGGGTCACTCCTGAGTGTTCTGTTCCTCTTCACTGATGGTAAAGAAAATCTGGCAAAGGAGCTCTGAGACCTGCACATCTGCACTGCAGGTTTGCAGAATACCTGAAAGGAATCTGACCTGTAAACTTAAAACACTGAGGGAGGATGCTGAGCACGTGGGCCATTGGAATGAGCAAAACTCATTCTTTAAACGTACTGTTTTTATTTTAATATGGTACGTACGACTTATGGAGCAACCTCAAATCTGGATTGTCAGCAAAGCAGTGTTGGATGTCCGAGTCCCACTTAGGAGACATTCAGGCAAGGGGCTCACAGGCCGGGCTTAGGGAGTGTTGGCACCACAGTGTGTGAGGGCAGTTTATTTCAGTTGAAGGATAGTTTGGCTCTGTAAGGAAATCATGGTTTCTGATGCCCCTGCTGTCTCTTGCCCCAAACTGCAGTCCCTTGCTGTCTCTGCAAAATAATTTGAGTTTAAACTAACCATAGAAGAATAACTGGTCTTGCAGTGGAGCACCAAGCAGCGTGACAGAGGGGCAGCAACCTATGACTAGAAAATGGTAACTTTTCATTAGCTTTGCCACCAAAGCCAATGTACCTGGGGCTACACTTCTGCTATTATGCCCTGGGAAGCACAGCTGCAGTAGTTACTGTCCTGGCTTTGTGGGATGGTAGTGAGGGTTAATGGGTGCACTACAAGTGGAACACGTGTAAGCACAAGTTTTTAATCAGTTTCATGGATGGACACAACCCTCAGATGCAACAAGAAGCATTCCTCTCCAGTGTTACATAGATATAAATACTCTGCCTTCTCAAATCAGACAGCAGCCGTGTTTAGAACTTGTACCTCAGTGGCTCGTGCTGGAAGAAATGTCGAGGACAGTGGCAGTAAAGGGAGTTGGAATGGGGGCTGTGCTATGCAAGGTGTAACAGAAGCATAGACAGATCATTGTTAACACAGTCTGATTCTCTTTTATTTTTAGTGTGGAAACTGTAAATGATGGGCAATTTCATAGCGTGGAACTTGTGATGCTGAATCAAACTCTGAACCTGGTGGTGGACAAGGGGACTCCCAAGAGTCTTGGAAAACTCCAGAAACAGTCTTCTGTCAGCCTCAACACACCGCTCTACATTGGAGGTACAATGAGTTGCTCTGGACTTTGACATGTTAAAAATCTTTTTGTTAAAAAAAAGCAAAACAGAACAGAAGCTTGTTAAAAAATAATAATTCTCAGAAGACTTAGTGAACTCTCTCAGAAGCAAACCGTATTCCATCCTGTGGAAAGGACTTTCTGGCTGGTGGGAAACAAGAGGTTTTGTCTTTCTCCTCTGCCAGAGGTTGCTGCTCAATTTCATTCTTCATATTTCATTAGCATCCCACTGCATGGTCTGCACGAACCCACATGCCAGACCAGGGAAGTTAACCTAAGCAGGGCACAAGCAGTCACTGGTCAGTGGCCATTACTAGAGTGACCAGTTGGTCATTTCTAAAGCTTTCAGAACTTGCTGGCAGTAAGATCTCATGGTGAAGAATATGATGGAAGTATTGCAGAGAGTCACTGCAGAAAAGCAAATCAATCAGTAGGTTTATACGTACTATAAGTGAACTGAATTTCTGCTGTAAATTTTATAGAGGTTTAAAAGTTGGGGGGAGAAGAAAAGATATATTCTCCAAACAGTATTAACATACAAGCTGACTAAAAACTTCTTGGCTAACAGTTTTCTCATTGGAAATTGATGCCAGAACAATGCTTGAAAGATTTTAGAATTGATCAAACTTCTGTTAAAGTTTTTTGATATTCAGGACATAATTTCTGGGGCCACATAGCGTGGAAAGCAGATGCTCAGAATCAGAGATCCTCAGTATCAGAGTATCCTACTGATGAGGTGTCTGGGCATTAGAGAGACAATGAAGCCTGTGCTCTGCCTGATGGATTGATTTGTGCCAGATGCCCACCAATTCCATTCTGGAATGAATGTTGGAATCCCCCATTTTCTGTGACATAGAGTTGTTGTTTTTTTTTTTTTTTAGACAGCCTATTCTAAATACAAAACTCAGCAGAATAAAAACAGACTGAAATATCTATTCTGTAAGCTTTTTCTGAGCAGATTATGTAAGTCAATAGTAGAAACCACTTGACCATTTGGTGCTGGTTAAGCCTTTTATAAACAATTCCTTTTAATAACCCTTTTCTAAAAGAGCCCTGAATATTGCCCTTGTAAATCAGAAAACTGGCTGATCTTGCTTTTTACCGAGCTGAACTTTTATAATTGGTTTCTGTTAGGAATGTCACAGGTTATTAAAGAGCACTGTGCATCAAAGATGATCTGCTGTTGAGGCCATCATAATTTCTCTCTCTAATTCAGCTAAAGAGATTCCCACCTTGTTGCAATTTATACACAGGGAACCTAGGAGGTTTCCCTAGTGGGAAAAGTTTTACTAATGGATGAGCATTGTAAATCACAACTAATTCTCAAAAGGCACCTATAGAGGACAAATCTGAGACTCTTAATGAAGGACTCTATTGGATACCAGAATGCATGGTGCTCAGCAGAGACTTGTACTGCCCAGTGCATTTCTTCTTGAGTCTTTCTAAATCCTCACTCATGTGCCACTTCTGTATAACTAGCATTGCCATAAATGCCAGCTGCCCTTCCATTTCAGGCTGTTTAATGAAGTTATTAAATTAACCTCAGAACAATTCTTACAGTAACCTTTAAGACAGACCTGAGGCTTCAGGTACCCAGAATCTTGCCCATCTTGCCCACTTGGTCTAGCAACCTTCCTCCAAAATCATTATTAAACGAAGATGTTGATCTGGTTTCGACTTTAACAATGGAGTTACTTACCAGCAGCAAAATCCAGAGACTTTATACAGTCGAAAATGGAAGCACCTGCCTGTGCAAGTACAACTGAAGCAGATGCTAGTGAGGAGGGCATAACACGATGTCCAAAACAAGCTGTTGGCTCTCTGAGCTTGGGAACTCTTCCAAGGGCTTGAACAAGATGAAGGGCACTCACCCCGAAGGTTTGGCTGGCCTCCTGATATGCTGTTCTCTGATCTAGATTTCTCCTGAGCTAGTTTCGATGGGTTGCACTCCTTAACTTGATGGTTGAATAATGGTAACTATCTTCTTGTATCCCAGAGGCGTAGCTACTGGCTGACAAGCAAAAACATTCTCACCTTTCAGAAGGATAATTGCTATTGAACTGTAGGCAGAAGGACCATTATCTAAGGACAAAATACATGACCATCCACCAAAGATCCGAGCTTCTTTTCTCCCTTTTTTAATAATATATTTCCTACGTAAGCTGAACAAGTGATTTTATTTTTGTTCCTTTGCATTTCCAGAATGAGGACAATACAGTTGCGCTGCCTTACAAAGTGCCATGCACATCACTTCTTTAAAGGTTACAAGGTGCTGAGGCAGAAGAAACGTTAGCTATTATAATTTATATACTGTCATTGTAACTGTGAGCAAGCTTTCCCTTTTTCTTTTTTTTATCTGAAGGGATCCCGACCTCTACTGGATTATCTTCACTGCGCCAGGGTGCAGATAAGACACCAAATGGCTTTCATGGATGTATTCACGATGTTCGCATCAATAACGAGCTGCAGGATTTCAAGGATTTACCACAGCAGTCAATAGGAGTCCTTCCTGGCTGTAAATCCTGTAACATCTGCAAGCACGGCATTTGCCGTTCCCTGGAAAAAACAAGTGTGGTTTGTGAATGTCACCCAGGCTGGACAGGCCCCCTGTGTGACCAGGAAATTGGAGACCCATGTCTTAACCACAAGTAAGCTTGAATGAATGCTGATGGGAGGGGAAAAGCTTTACAGCTATTGCATATTCTCATTTCATCTTGTAAAAACACATGTGACCATTTTTGGAGGTCTGGGTTCCCACATAAATTATTGATAGTGTGAGTCGGCGTCCATGGCACTGTTCAATTTTCATGTCTTGTTTTGATGCTGGTCGCTCTCCAGATGACCTCGTTCTCCTAGAGAAGCTAATGGTTTATACAGCAGGCTTTCCTTTCAGCTATAACTTTACACATTAAAGTATGAAAACGTCTGTTAATGGCTGCACATTGCCTCTGAGGCAGTGAGTGCACACATGTATCCAGAGCAGAGCCAGCCACAAGAGAGAGGTTTGCATTGCAGTGATATGCTCACAGCAGCTCTGGACAGGGAATTCGAGTTAGTTCCCTGAAGACCATTCTGCAGTCTGTTGTGAACAGTTTTGAATTTCCTAAATAGCTGAATGAAATATTACATTCTGAAACACCCCTTTAAAGTGCAAGTTTGAAGAGTAGCATGGTGTTGCATGCAAAGGCAGTATGACTATAAAGCACTCACAGTTCAAAGGCTCAATAATAACCACATCTCCATCAGAAACACTGGATGAATAGCTTACTTATGGCAAGTAGACAAGGAAACAGCCCAAGGCAGACCAGCAGACTGTGTGGTTCAGTGCTGTTTCGTAGCAGATGGAAGTACTCTGGCTTTAGAAGCTGCTTTGGTTGCACTATCTTTGGAAGGGGCTTTTTAGAAGCACATGCTTTTGACAGATAAATTGACACAGTAAATAATCACTCTGGTCAGTGGGGGCCCAAATATAATTTGCAGGGGAACTGTTTTAAACTTGCTAATTCTGCAAACTACTACCCTGGAAGGCACTGAGAAGCATCTCACAGATTACAGACTGAAGTGACCCAAGTGAGCCTGTTGTGATTGGACAGAGAAAAATGAGGGAGTTTCAGATGTTTACATAATTTCTCATGTGATCCACAGAGCGTTACACAGTAATGAATGTAGACCTTGCTAAGGAAAGTAGCTGTGCATATTTTTAATACTCTCTTACTGCCCCACCTTACCATTAAGTCACTTCTGGAGGTACAAGCCTTTCGTGTCCAGGCCAGCTGACAGATCTCTGCTCCAACACTCACAGATTAACCTCAGTGAGGAAATGCAACTGTAAAGAACAGGTAGTTGTTAACAGCTGATACCCAAGCACACCTTTAGTTAGCGGGGCAGAAAATACTGCTTCATAGTCTGTGACCCCCTTTATTTATTATTTTGCATGTCTTGACTTGACTGATACTGTTTTACTATTTGTGCTTTCTATTTGCTTAGATTAAAAATGAAATGTGTAAGGGTTCAACATAAGCAGGAGACAGTTTTAAAGGATGAAGAAATAAGAAAAGAGAGCCATTGGTTTATGTCAGTAAGACCTGATAGAATAAAGGCTATGAACCCTGAGCAGTTTTCCCTGAACTGGACGTGTTGCCTTCTTCTCTGCCCATTCCAAATCTGTCCTCCCAGAAGCAGGCACGGTGTCAGCTTGCTAAGGATCAGCACCCTTCCCCTAACCCCAACCCTCAATTATACCAAAGCCTATGGCAAATCACATGAGCCAGGGAATCCTTCAGCTAGAACTGCCTGGTTAAGTCTGTGCTTAGCTTTTCCACAGAAATCTTTATTTCTCATAATGTTTTTTATCACCTGATATTATTTGTAGAGTAGTTCTGCCAGGGAAGCCTGGGCATTGATTGCTGGCACTTTGTTCCACATAGCAGTGCTGTCTTGTGTGGATGCCAAGTATTGGTCCACACTCATGGAAGAGCTGATGTTTTTCCAAGAGATCACTTGGGATCACAAATTCCAAGTGTATTCTCTGAACATTATCCACTACTCACTGAAAACTCATAGTTTCTTCAGCGTGTTTGACTGATCTGCTATTTCTTGGATTACTGTCCTGATTTTAAGTATGCAGAAACAGCAAGATCCAAACTTATAAACATTCCTGGGAAGAGGAACTTCAACATCTAAATACTTCTCTTTCTCTAGGTGTCTGCATGGTAAGTGCATGGCAGCCAATGTTGCTTATACCTGTAAGTGCATGGAAGGCTACACAGGCATGTACTGTGAGAAGAAGAACAATTCCTCAAACCCGTGCAGGATTTTGAAATGCAACCATGGGCAGTGTAAGATTTCGGAGCATGGGGAACCCTACTGTGAATGTGATCCCAACTATAGCGGAGACCACTGTGACAGAGGTATGCTTGGCCACAGGGACCAGGATGTTGGTCTGCTGTGCTTCTGTTTTACATCTTTCTTTTCGCCGCTCTTCCATGTAATTTGTATTTGAGAGTAAATGGCAAATGATAAGAAAGATAAAGGTAAGTCAACCTCTACAGAGCAACAGAGAAATGAGCCACTACAGTATATGGAAAGGCGACATCTGTAGTGAAGGGTTTTGTTCTCTGTCTCCTGAATCCTCAAGGTTTGCTGCTCCCAAGATTCTGTAATCTTGGGAAGGAGCTGGTTGTTTAAAGTGGACATTGTTGTGAGGCTTTCCTTGGATAAACAGTGATCAGTCAGTCAGCAGTGCTGGGAAAGGAGGTGTTACACTGCGTACCAGGGGTTTATGTGGAGAACAAGACGAGGGACTAGAAGGCAGGAGATCCTGTCTGAAGTGTCAGTGAAGATTCCAGCTCACTGCTGCTGGTGCAGGTTAGCGGGTTTCCTGGGGCATCCCACAGCTCATGCTGGGGTGTACTTCTTCTCTTCTGACCTGAAAACACTCACTGGAAACTCTGTGAGTTCTAACTTCATCACTTCTGCCTTCATTCCTTCCTGTACAGAAGGAAGGTGCTGGCTTGTATTATTGTTGTCCCTTTTCTGTGAACTACAGACTTTCCAAATTATACAGATCATATGCAGTCTCACTAAAATGGATCTGCCTGTGACAAAGTGACTGCACACCAGCATAGACATTCTCAGGTACCCTAGATGGCCGATGTCACGCAGAGCAGGCTGACCTCTGATCCTGTGAAGCAGACATAGTAAAACTAATTCGCATTTTGCAGGAGTGTTGTTGTAGGATTCAACACTCAGCATTCATTAAAGCACTTCCAGAACCTGATCAAAGCCATTAGGCCTGCATGGCCTCTGCCTCGTGCCGGATATTGCACATTTGTGTAACACAAGCTCTGTTTTGATGGCAGGTACAAAGCAGTAAAAGATTACGGTTCCGCTCACGGCATCTGCTTGCCCTGAGTATCATTACATGCACAGGGCTGTCGGCTGATGTGTGGGGAATATCTAGCAAAATGGTCACAAGATTGCTTCCTTGACATCTCCGTTGTCTTAGCAGAGAACCTGTGCCAAGGGGAGATCATTCGAGAAGTGGTCCGTAAGCAGCAGGGCTACACGACGTGCGTCACCGCCTCCAAAGTGCCCCGCATGGAATGCCGTGGCAGCTGCAGCAGCGGGCAGTGCTGCGTCCCACTGCGGAGCAAAAGGAGGAAATACTTCTTCCAGTGCGTGGATGGCTCCACCTTCACAGAGGAACTGGAGAGACACGTGGAGTGCGGCTGCTCAAAATGCTCATAAGCCATTCTCCAGCCTCTCGCCACTTTAATCGACTCAGAAGTGCTATCAAAATGGGACCTATTTACTTTCAGAGTGAAGAAGAAAAGAATTATTAAGTATATTGTAAAATAAACAAAAAATAGAACTTATTTTTATTATGGAAAGTGACTATTTTCATCTTTTATTATATAAAGTATCACACCACTTTGGGTATATGTATCATATAGTGAGTTATTTTTACCATGAAACTTTTTTAACAGTTGTAAGAAAAAAAAAATTAAAAAGTTAAAATTTAAAAAAACTATATAAAGAAAACATAGCCTAACAGGAAAAATGTCGGGGTGGGGTGGGGGGGACTTAATATGTATGCACAACAGACAAATGTAAAGGTGTTCCAAGGACCTGCTGCAGAATTGGTATGGGCTGAAGAAATCTCCCAGGCTGTGGGCTGGGTCTGGTGCCAAAGCGGATCCCCGCGCTGACAGCGACCTGCCTGCCCACACTCCTGAGCAGCCTCCCTTCCGTCCCCTGCTCTGCCTAACACTGCCGATGCTGCTTTGGTCCTGTACAGTGGCTCTGCTTGATATTCTTGAACTGGTTCCCTATAGCACGTAAGCACTGCCATAGCTTAAGGCTAACTACATTATCTGACTATTGTAATGCTATAATGCATTTTTGCTGTGTATGTTGTATTTATCTGTGTTCACAATATATTCTTCAGCAACTGTATCTATAGAGCACAGGCAGCTTTATCCAAAAGAAGGGGACAAAGGGAAAGAAAATGGGGAAATACGTTGCTTTGGGAAATTTGGGGGCAAGACGTGAAATAAGTGCTAAGTAATGCCTAATAAATGACATAATAGTTTTGTGTTAATTCCTCAGCTATGTTATTTCCCAGGTTTGTGCCTTCTTGCTCCCAGCCTTGAACCCTTTTTTGTATATGAAATATAAGGAATGCACTGCTACTAAATTTGTCATGCCTTGACATTGTATCATGCAAAGGTCATAAAGAGCATGAAAGTGGTGCAGGTGCCAGAATGTACCTGTGGCATAATGGCTTTGACTCCCACTGTCACTTCAGCCACGTGGATGTAAGCTGGTCTGTAGCTGCCTGTTCATCAGCACTGTACCAAACAGCTGGCTGCCATTCCACAGCTTTTTGAATGAGCAGAAGTTGCACTATGTCCTTCCTTGTGAAGTTATTCAGCCAATACTTGTTGATCTTAGCAGCACTCTCTACTCTGCACAGGGAGAGACATTTATAGCTACATCACATTCCATTCTCACATTTGGTGCAGACTGACCAATCCAGCCAAAGCTTTTCCATCTGCACTATTTTATATATCCTGCACTTGTTTCTCCCAAAGGGCTCCCAGTAACTTTAGCTGCGTTCAAGCAAATGCTGAATATGAAGCAAAGTCAATGCAGGGATAAATTCTCACTGTGAATGTGGAACAAAAAGTGACTCTTTGGGAGGAAGTTTGATTTTTGGAGGGTTTTTGGCAGGGCTACTTTTCAGGGTCAGTAAGTACATGCAAAGAGGACCACAAATACCTTGAATTTTCTCTTACTATCAATTTCAAACTTCTATATCTGTAACTGTTCCATTATCAGTGTAATTTCCTTCTTTCCCTGGCATAACAAAGTATTACTGTGCTTTCTTCAGTTTCTCTAAGAGAGGTAAAGTCAGAGGTGAGTTCTAGCAGCCAAAAGCCCCTTTTGGGAACACTCAGTGGTCTCACCACAGAGATTTCAGTTCATGGGCTTCAGCAGCTGATCAGTAGGAGAGCTGAATTAAGCAAGTGGGGCTTTTGTTTGAATGAGTCTTTGAAAAGATGCACAAAATGGAATCCTGCCATGAAAAGTACAGATGTTTATTTCTGTCTAAAGAAAAATGATCCTGTAGCCATCACCCAAGCAAAAAGCTGCAACATGCTTAACGCTCTTCTGCTAATGAAATCTTCCCTGAACTGCAGCAGTTCATCCGAATTTCTCTGTTACCACCAGAGCAGCTCGAGTAGAAGGGATATAATCAATAAAATAGCATTCTTTCAAAATAAGTACCAGTATGAGGGGGCCTGCAATCATTAAAATACTAAACAATCTCTAGTTAATGTACCAAAATCTGATTGAAACAGTACAGTTCAAGAGCTATAGGAAATCTAACCCTGCTTGCAAATACCCTGGATTCCTTTTTATTTTGAGAATTGTGTCAGAATCTCAAAGCAGTTGGAGTTTGTGTACAACAGAAATGAACCAAACCTACAATCTGCAGGTTTAAAACTTCATGCAGCTAACCGCACACAGCTGCACAAAGGTGTGCCTGCACACCACTACCATTAATGTCACTTCGTGCTTAATGGTCTTTAATTTCTGAAGAAGCAGCTGCTGTTATGCCATGCAGAAGCATACAGCCGGGCAGTGCTTACAAGGCTGCTGTGTGCTCCACAACTTGCAGCCACTAAGCAGCCAAGGCCTGCCCCTCTTGAACACTAACCATGCATGTGTTTGCTTTGTCCCATGAGCAGCAGCATATATGAGAGAGCAAGTAACGTGTACTTGTGGCCTCACGCCTGCTTGAGGGTGTTTTAGAGGAATAACCTTGCATGGCAAGGCAAAAGCCATCAATACCTTGTTACTGATCACTCTGGGATTTGTTTAACCAAGGCTTTGCAGCAAAGAGACCAGCAACAGCTCAGCTGGCCCTGTTCCCAGCCCTTTTCTATCACGGCATCTCAATGCTAAGTGTTGGGATAAAGAAATAGCTATTTTGTAACCAAATGATGCAATTTTTGTATGCTTTTCGGTAGCACTTGCCATTGGATAGTGATGCTTTATGTCAGTGATTCTATGACTTGCTACAGAACTATTTTACGTTAAGAAGAAAATAAAAAGCATTCAGATGTGCCAAAAAAACATGAGGTTAACTGAAGTGTAATTAGCTCTGAAAACTCCTCTGTAACCTGCCTAATTTACAATGGATTTCAACTACTGTGGGTACAGTGCGGTAGTTTTTACCTCTATAAAGTTTTAATATAAAGTGAAGAAAGATGCTAACCCTTAAAAACTGGCAATGCAGACTGGTGTGAACTGATGTATTTTATTAATAGATTCTCATTGTGATGTAAGTTTAAATAAATTGTTGGGTTATGGAAGATTGTAACATACCTTATGTCGTGATGCAGATTATTTTGCTCTCCATTTGAGGTGCCGAGGGACCATTTGGAGTCTGGGAGTTTAGCAGCAGTGAGGCAGCTCAGAGAAAGCGATGGGGGATGGCGAGTTGCTCTGGGTAGCTGCAGTGTGAACATGGCTGCAATTAGCTCAAACACTGTCACAAGTGGTAACGTCCTTGGATGTTTTTAGTAGTCTTACACGCACAGATGAATTTAAGCCACGTCGTTTTTGAGCATTTTCTTCAATGAAATGCTTGTTTTTAAACTGTTTTTAAAAGGCCTGCAGTGAAGGCACGCTCATTAACTAAGAATGGGATAAAAGAAGAAATATTGGGAAGCAAGGGTCAAAGAAGACCTGTCTGAAGAAACAGAAACCACTCAGCCAACAGCGGGTGACAAGATCTTGTGATACGTTCCAATTTGCTGCTACATCTCTGTAGCTGTTATGAGTAGTGACCCAGATGTAACAGAGCACTTCTGGTCATTACATTCCAACCTCGGTATACAATGAAAAGAATCTCCCACTCAGTCCTCAGCCCTCGCTTGCCTGAACCCCACTCAATGCTTACATTTTGCTAATTATTCTCCATATTACAGCACTTGGGGCTGCCTTTGTCAATTCATTAAAAAAATGGTGAAAGTATTCAGCCAAAAAAAAAAAAAAACCAAAACAACAAAAAAACCCACATCAAATTAACAAGCATCATTAAGGCTGAACTATGAACTATATCATTATATAATTGTAGCAGATGGTAGCATCTTCACCTGAAGAAAATCTGCCTCAGCCTACCAAAAAAAGGCAGCAGGCACTATTCAGAAATACCCAGGTACTGCCTGGTTTGTACAGCAGTTATTTGAGATGACTCATGGCTTTGTGGTGCACAGGTATTTTGCCAAGCATTCACACAACTGTTGCCCAAGGCACTTTGTTTATGCTTCTGCTTGTACTACTACCTTTAGGTATTGCTTTTTATCTATTGCTCTATGGCAAATAACACAGAGAAACAGTTTATCTATCTTTCTTCTATCTTTGTCTTTTTTCTAGTTGGCAGGAACTGGTCAGATTGTGCTCCTGCGTTGTTTTCTCTGCATTGAAAACTGTAACTTCTAGTTTCTGTGATATTTAAAATTAGCTCCCAATTACTTAAGTCTCTGAGGCTTCTACAAAGACAGCTTCATAGTTCAGTGTGCTAGACAGCTGGAATTGGCTTGGTATTGCTAAGCCTGGAGTATTTTTGAGTAATCTCTTTGTCTTAAGGCTGATGAGATGTCAGACTGCATCACTGACTTGCAAGTCCACTCTAAGCCAGAACGCTTTTCCAGGACGTGCCTTACAGTTTTTGAGTACAACACAAAGGAACTTCCAACAGCACGTCCCATACCACTGTTTGGGAGCCACCTCTGAAGCAAGGGTGCCCAGACCTGGTACTGCCAGCCTCTGGCACAGGCCTTCAGATGTCATGGTGCACATCCCCTTTCACTTGGCTAGCCACTACCCAGCTCTTATTCACCCACACACTCACCTTCACCACGTCTCTGCCCCATGCCAGATGCTGTGACAAATGCATTAATTCTTTTCAAAATGAGTCCTGGAGCCCAGGCTCAGCAGGAATGGCAATTTTCTGTAAAGCTGTTTTTACTGCAGGGCTGGTTACCTGGCTGCTTGCAGTGCTCCCACTGCGAGATCCCTCTCTGCAGGGAAGGGCAATGCAGGGCATTTGTTACCCAGCAGTGCTGTACTCCCAGCTAGCAGGAGCACACATGCTACCTATTGTCTGGGCATGAAAACCCAGATTCAGCCCTCAGAAAGCCCTACAGACATCAAGGAACTCCTCAGCCAGATAGCTAAGCTGTAAAAACAGTACGTAGTAGCATGAGGAAGTTTGAACTTACACCATTACACATAGGGGGATCCCATAATTTCACAGGCAGAAGGAACATAAGTTACTGTAAGATTTGCATAGCTCTGCATCTTGCTCCTATGTGAACTCTTGATCTTTTCCTTTTGCTGGGCTCTTCTGCTTTCAGAATGAAGTGATCCTCAAGGCAGTCTGTGGATGATG